TTATTATTATTAAAAATTTCCACCTCCTCTCTTCCTCCCATTTCCCTCCCCCATCCCCCCGTTTCCCCTACCCTTCCCTCTCCAGTCTAAAGAGCAGTCAGGGTTCCCTGCCCTATGGGAAGTCCAAGGTCCTCCCCCCTCCATCCAGGTCTAGGAAGGTGCACATCCAAACAGACCAGGCTCCCACAAAGCCCGTCCATGCAGTAGAATCAAAACCCAGTGCCATTGTCTTTGGCTTCTCAGTCAGTCTTCATTGACCGCCACATTCAGAGAATCCAGTTTGATCACATGCTCCATCAGTCCCAGTCCAGTGTTGATGGTTGGCATAATGTTTTAATTTTCACTAATAGAGTCCCAAAAAAATCTATCTTTAATATTTATCACTAGATTAGATTGTCTCTGAAATTGGTAAAGCATAAATAACCTTTTGGCACATGTATTTTATTCCAAATTTATCTTAGTGTACTGTTTATGAAAATGAATATTGTCCAGAAAGAAAATTATTTATCTTTATGATTGCTTCATGGGTTCTTCTTATTACTTATTCCCATTTAAAGGGCACATTCTTTTTCAGTCTCTTTATAGCCATCCAGAATTAGTATAAAATGACATTAGATTTTTATTTATGGAGTAAAACAGAGAAATGCAGTAGGTGAAATAAAATATTAGCAGCATGAAAGTGTTTTTTACATTCTTGGGTAGAAAGCAGGCAAGAGTGAAAAAATAAATTATCTGAAGCAGAGCTAGTCTCAAGAGAGAATATTTCTCTGATGTTTACATGAGGTAGCAACAGCTGAGGAAAAGAAACTATTGCTCATAGCTTTTTTTGTTGCCAAAAATTTAGCTAACCCACATGAACCATAGAAGAGCCTCTCTCCTACTGTAGAATCTGTTCAAGACATTTTGCATGAAATCACAATTGTATGTCCTATTTATTCTTTTAAGATTGCTTGTTTTAGTTATCTCACCAAGAAAAACCCCAGATAATATCCCACAGTATAGAATGTTCAAGAAATTACCTAGCAACTGCTGAGTCATGTTAATCCTGCTGACAAACTGTTGTTGCTGGTTCTCTGCAATATATAAAAAGATGCAGCACATAATGCAGCCATGGTGTGTGGGCAGCCTCTAAAGAGGGACACTGATAAACATTCTAATGGAAGCAAGAAGGCAAAGAGGCGTGTTCTTACAACCATGCTATATTTTTCAAATCCTTACCTTTGTAATTCAGAAAAAATAGACAGACAGACAGACACACACACACACACACACACACACACACACACCACCCTTATTCTTGAGGAAGTTGTGGCTTCCTAACCCTTTTTCCTGAGTCCCACTCTCCCCACTCCCTTTATTCTCCCCTTTCTCTGCTTTTTGCCTAAGACTTTCCAATAACAACCAGTCGCCCTGGTGAGCACTGCTAACTCTGTAAGTGTAAAGAAGTTTCTGGCTTGTTCTAGTCTCTAAATTTCATTCAGAAACAAGTGGAATAAAACCCCAAAGCAGTTGGAGGAACACTTACCACCACCTGGAAAAGAATACAAATTGTCTTCTACTTAACTATCCCCACTCTATGCTTCCTGCTATTTATTGGAAAGGGCGGCATATTTTTAAATTGTAAACAATTATCTGTGATTTAATCACCCAGTATAATTGCCATATGAATCCTTTTATCACAACCTTGTTGCTGTCTCTTCTCACCTCTCTCTGTCCTGTCTGCATTTTAGTATAGAAATAAATGCTGTTGTCCTGTGCCTATCATTCAGTCTTAATAGTGTTACTTAAGCAAAGCAAATTGTTAATCCCTCTGTCTTATTCCTTCTCAAAGCTATTTCCTAGAACCTCTGAAAGTTGTGCTGTTTATACAGGCTTCAGTTTATGTGATACTAATATGGCAATGATGGTTTATTATTGATAATAAAATAATTACTAACAGTATTGCAAGAGACTTAAGAAATCATATACAGTAGGAAAATCAAATGAAGGCTATTCCTACAACTAATGATCTAGGGATGATCATTTTCTATATAATGCCAGAGTAACTAGTTAGTTGTTTGCTGGTATCAATTTTATATTAAATGACATAACCAGAGATCCTCAAATAAAAGAATACCAAAAATAAGATATTTTCTGAGCATTAAGAAAGCAGAGAGGATCCAGATGTGGTTGATCCTGACTATAATCCTAGCACAAGAGAGGCTGAGACAGGATCATTGATGGGTTATATAGTGAGTTACAGGCCAACTTTGACTACAGAGTGATACTCCAAAAAAAAAAAAAAAAAGAGATGATGGGGGGATAGAAAAGAGGAGGAGGAAAGTAAAGACTAGGAAAATAAAGGAAGGTGGATATGAAAGAGCATACCCTCTACTTACAGAGTGAGCTCCTATAGAAGATAGGCAAAATTAAGAAAGGAAAGAATAAAATGAGTCCTTATTTATCCTTTAAAATGTAAGATGTGGGGGCTGGAGAGATGGCTCAGTGGTTAAGAGCACTGACTGCTCTTTCAGAGGACCCGGGTTCGATTCCCAGCACCCACATGGCAGCTCACAACTGTCTGAAAATGCAGTTCCACGAGATCTGACACCTTTACACCAACGAACATAATAAAGTTAAATAAATCATTTAAAAAAAAGAAAGAAAAAAATAAAATAAAATGTAAGATGTTTAGTTGTTACTGTTATTGCAAATATAATTAAATATTCATATATAATATATATAATATGTTATCTTTTCAAAACCCCTTGCTATATCAATGACATGGAAGTAACAGTAGTGATCATAAAACTCATTAGATAGGCCTTGCATTGCCAGGAGTATTGATCTGACACCCAAATAATAATGTATCAGGAAAAGATGGTATTCTTTAGGAATTTTTTTCTCAATCATTACCTAATTATATGTATCAGGCACTGGAGAAAGAATGGATGAGACTAAACAAACAAACAAAAAAAAAGTTGTTTGCTTGCTTCCTTGCTTGCTTGGTTGCTTGGTTTGGTTTGGTTTGTTTTTTGAGACAGGGTTTCTCTGTATAGCCCTGGCTGCCCTGGAACCAACTCTGTAAACCAGGTTGGCCTAGAACCCAGAGATTTGCCTGCCTCCTGAGTACTAGAGCTAAAGGTGTGTGTCACCACCACACAACTAAAAAGTTTGTTTCTTCATTTTTGTTCCAATTCTGGATTTCTTTTTTCAGTGTAAGAAGTGACTTTAAGAGCTGGGGGAAAAGTTCAGTAGGTAAATGTGCTTGTGAACCTAATACCAAAGCTTCTACAGGGGATGGGAGGAAGAAAGAGAAGCTCAAGGATCAACTAGTACACCATATATGGCCAGAAAATGACAGACACGATCTTAAATAAGGGGCTAAGAAAGGTTATCCTCTGACATCCACATTTGCACTGTGGCACACATGTGCTTACATTTGAACACACAAATGCACAATCATGCTCAAAACATTTTTAATCAATTTTGCCTACATGTGGTACATGTCTATAATCTCAGAAAGTAGAAAGCAGATGTAGGAGAATTGCCTCAAATTCAAGCCCAGCTTGATCTGCATAGCACATCCCGACCCTTCTAGGGCCAAATCCTGTCTCAAAAAAAAATTAAATAAATATTGTTCATTCCTAAAAATAAAGATAAGTAGCCAAAAATAGGAGTGTGACTCGGTATTAGAGCACTTGCCTGGTATTGCAAGTCCCTAGTTCCAGCAGGTACTAAGTAGAAAATATGATGCAGTAAGCTTGTTTATTCCAGCTCATTGATAGCATTATTTCTAATCTATTGACTTTCTTATTTTATTTTAAATAAATAAGAAAATGTTAAGAAGTTAAAAAAGTCACAAGAAATTGGAGAAATTTGAATGTGCAAACTGATGTGTTTATATATCCATGGATGTGTACTTATTATTAAGTACATGGGTAAGGTCATGTCATTTGGAAGGATAAGCCAAATGAGCATCATGTTAGAAAGCACAAGTATGGAAAGGATGGCATCATATGAAGTGATGACAAGAAAGCATGCAAATAGATCCACTTCTGCTGATGCTTGGAATCTATTGGATACTAAAGATCAAACTAGTAATAGAAAGGCCTTTGTCTACTTTAGGAAATCAGAAATGCATTCAACTTTCCTGAACATAGTTTTAATGAAGTCTTGGAATGTCAATACTAGGTTCTCCTTCCTTCCTCTAAGTCTATGCTGATATTTATTCTTGGCTCTTTTCCATCTCACAGCTGCTGATGGTCCAGGAGATCGTTTCATCATTGGGGAATCCCAAGCTGGTGAACAGGTGAGATTCAGAAGCCTGAAAGACACTGCAGATGTCTATTTCACAGACTTTGAGCATTCAATTCTAAGTATCCAATATCAGCATTGTGGAAATCTTAAAGAAGTATGAGTCAGAAGACTATCCAAGGGATAAAAGAAAGATCCCATGTGAACCACAATAAAAATTACTTAAAGAACCTATATCTTTCAATATGAATAATTTTGTTACATCCTCCACAGGCATACATTATAGCCATTCTCTAGCCCTATGATTGAGTGCTTCTTCTTCCTACAAATTTTGATTTTCTGGCTAGAACTACAAGTACCTCTGTTGACAGAGGTTTCTGTCCCTCCCAGTCCTGCAGCCGTTCACTCCCAAAGAAACAAACAAAAGCCTACATTAATTATAAATTGATTGACCTATTAGCTCAGGCTTTTTATTAACTCTTATAACTTATATTAACCCACAATTCTTATCTGTGTTAGCCACATGACTTGGTATTTTTTATCAGTGAGGCAGTCTCATCTTGCTTCCTCTGTGTCTGGATGATGACTGCAAACTGACCATTTCCTCTTCCCAGAATTCTTCTGTTCTTGTCACCCTGCCTATACTTCCTGCCTGGCTACTGGCCAATCAGCATTTTGTTAAAATAATACAGGTGACAGGCTACAAGACCATTGTCCCACAGCACTCCCCCTCCATTTTTTTCAAAACAAGAACTCTGAATCTATGTCCTTTGTTTAGCTTTTTTCTGACCATTATCCATCATAACTTTTAACCAACATTCTAAACAAAGACAAACATCCATAATCCGTTTTTGGGGAATGTAGGCATAGTTCTCTAGGCTAGTTCCTGCTGATTGGGGACATTGATAATCTTATGGGGACCTAAAGAAAATTTTGAATTATGGTCAAGTCGTGACTGGAATATTCTGTGAGGCTTGATCATCTTAGCCAGCAGTCTTGAAACTGTTCTGGATGTAGAATTTAGACATCTGGGCCATCCGCTCGTGTCAGAGATTTCTCAGATGGTGTTCCTTAATTTTTCTTAGCCCAGAATGAATCCATGCCCTCTCATTTCCTATAGAAACAAAAGCAAAGCCTCTTCTCCAAAGTGACATACCCTTGACTTAAATTTTGACGTCAAGGCATTTTCAAAATATACATGTTGGATTAATCCAGCAGCATTTATAACCAAATGTTTTAGCAGCTTTTGCTTCTTCCTCAACCATCAAACAATTTAAAGACAACACAATAACATACAGTGTGTAGATTCTCTGTATTTTTCATCTTTATATGGCTTTATTTTATTTTTAATTTTTGGCTTTTTGAGACAAGATTTTTCTGTGTATTTTTGGCTGTCCTGGCACTCACTCTAAACCAGGCTGTCCATCTGCCTCCGCCTCCCAAGTGCTGGGATTAAAGGTGTGTACCACTACACCTTGAACTCACAGAGAAGCACCTGCTTCTGCCTCCCAAGTGTTGCAATTAAAGGTGTGTGCCACCACTTTCTTTCTTTTTTATTTTAAGGACTTTATCCTTCTTCTTTTCTCTCCCAAACCTACATATATCCCTGGTCACCCTGCCTATACTTCCTGCCTACCTACTGGTCCATCAGCATTTTATTAAAATAATAAAAGTAGCAGGATACAAGACCATTGTTCCACAGCATACCTCATTGTTTGGGTTTTAAATAAAGACCCCAGGGTGGCTACTGTTGGCATCATCCTTCTACACATTACATTAACCCCTGTCTATTTAAGTACTTATAAACCAAGAATAGTCCATAGAGGTCAGTCTTCTGGGCCAGAGCAGAGCTTACAGATCAATAGTGTATCTGCAGAGGCAACCAAAAATAAATTTTTGCCTTGATAGAACTTAAATTCTGGAATATATAATAAATTTAATATTTTACCTAGAGTATTTAGGAGTTAAAAGATTATTAGCAGGCGGATCTGTGAGTTTGAGGCCAGCCTGATCTACAAAAGAACTAAAAGACTTTTCATTGTTTCTTAAAAATGATCTATCCCCTGAAGATTATCCTGTGCCTAAATAACCACCTCTCTTTTATGTTTGTATTTCCAGCCAACTCAGACAGTGATGCCAGGACAAGTGATGCGGGTTACAACAGGTGCTCCAATCCCCTGCGGTGCTGATGCAGTAGTGCAAGTGGAAGATACCGAACTTATCAGGGAATCAGATGATGTATGTCACTACCAGGCTCCTGTGGCATTGTTAGATTCTTCAGTGCTCATAAGATTAACCTGGGCTTTGGGGTGTATGAATGGTGTTATTTTGGTTTAGCGATCTTACACTATAATATGTAGGGCTCCAGTACATAAACTGCCTTAAAGAATGAAAATCTTTTGGCATGAAGAGACTTTTATGCTATTGTTATTAACATGAGAATTTTCACATGCAAACAAGAAATTACTTCACAATACAAGAATAGTAATGTTAACATTAAGTTGAGATATCTTCTTGTCATTGAGACTCACTTCTGATTAAGTGAAGGTATTCTTAGAACATGAATTTAGGGAGGAAGTGTAAATTTTTGAATGGAAAAAAATTTAAAAATTCAAGATAAAAAATGAATTTAATATAAAAAACTTTAACAGAGAACATTTGAGCAAGTTCTTGAACCAAATGACCCTTTCACCACTGATTTTCTGGTCAAAAAAAAACTGTTTCATCAAATAGAAGCCTGGAAATGTTGACTTTGTGTCGGTTCCCTCTGCCTTGTCTCAAAGGACATTTACAGGATCTAAATAGGCCATTGTCTCAATGGAACTAACAGCAATTATTAAAACCAGACTACTGGAGCTTCTCCTGGCTATGTTTCTATTGCTGAGATAAACACCATGCAGAAGCAGCTTGCAAAGGGGCTTATTTCAGCTTAGAGGTCACGGTCCTTCTGTATTAGGGCAGCACTCAAGTCAGGAACCTGGAGACAGGAACTGAAGCAGAGGCCGTGGAGGAACACTGTATGCTGGCTTGCTCAACCTCCTGCTCCACATGCCCAGGGTGGCAGCACCCCCAGTAAGCTGGGCCCTCCTACATCATCATTAATCAAGAAAATACTTCACAAGCATGCCCATAGATGGAAGCTTTTTTTTTTGTAATATAATTTTTTATTGAAAAAAAATTTCCGCCTCCTCCCCGCCTCCCATTTCCCTCCCTGTCTCCCTTTTCCCTCCTCCTCCTCCCACTCCTCTCCCCCTCCCTCTCCAGTCTGAGGGGCAGTCAGGGTTCCCTGCCCTGTGGAAAGTCCAAAGTCCTCCCCCCTCCATCCTGGTCTAGGAAGGTGTACATCCAAACTGGCTAGGCTCCCACAAAGCCAGAACATGAAGTAGGATCAAAACCCAGTGCCATTGTCCTTGGCTTCTCGGCAGCCCTCATTGTCCGCCATATTCAGAGAGTCCGGTTTTTATCCCATGCTTTTTCAGTCGCAGTCCAGCTGGCCTTGGTGAGCTCCCAATAGATCAGCCCCACTGTCTCCGTGGGTGGGTGCACCCCTTGTGGTCCTGACTTCTTTATCTCCATCCATCTCCAGATGAAGGTTCTATGGTGATATGCAAGATATTCATCAGTATGGCTATAGGATAGGGTCATTTCAGGTTCCCTGTCCTCAGCTGCCCCAGGAACTAACTGGGGACATCGCGCTGGGCACCTGGGAGCCCCTCTAGCTCCAAGTCTCTTGCCAACCCTAAGATGGCTCCCTTAATTAAGATATGTGCTTCCCTGCTCCCCTATCCAACCTTAGATGGAAGCATTTTAGCAGTTAGGGTTTTTTTCTTCCCTGGTCACCCAGGCTTAGGTCAAATTGACAGAAACATTAGCAGCACAGGCTGGAGATAGTTAATTGGTTAAAAGTACTTCTAGTTCTTGCAGAGGTTCAAGATTGGTTCCCAGCACACACATGGTGACTCACAATTGTCTATAACTCCAGTTTCCAACACCGTGTTCTGAGCATGAGCACCAGGTCCACACATGGTACATATACATACATGCAGGCAAAGCACTCCAGCACATAGTTTTTAAAAAAAAAAAAACAGACTATTAGTTAAGAATAAAACTAGGAACATTTTACTTCTTTACAGTTTTAATGACTGGTAGTTATACACATTTTGTGAAGCTTGAGGAATCATATTTTGAAACATTAAAAATAATATATATTCTTACTTTTGTTTTTCACAATAGGATTTCTCTGTGTAGCCCTAGCTGTCGTACAACTTGCTCTATAGACCAGGCTGGCCTCAAACTCAGGGATCCACCTGCCTCTGCCTCCCAAGTGCTGGGATTAAAGGCGTGCACCACCACCCAGCATAAAAATCATATATAGTCTTATATAGATTAAGTAAATAGTAATTACAACCATGCTAAGAAATGACCACCTTCCTTGGTCGGGAGATTATCTTCCCTCATGTATAAAATTCAACTTTTGGCATAAATATCTCATTGCCTTCCCTTAAAACTGTTCAAGCAGAGATTTATTAACATCGGAGAAGCCTACAAAGAATTGAAATCCAGAACACACACATCCTCCAACTATGAGATGGCAAGACACAATTCCAGTATCACAATATTATTTACAGTCCATGAATGTAAAATTGATGGTTATCATGAAGTTACAGAAATCTACTGCCATGCTGTAAGCCCTTCACTGAAATTAGAATGTACTTTTTAAATTATGAAAATTGGACTAAATAGTTATTTATTGGCACCAAACCTAATTCTTCAGGAGTCTCTTTAAAAGTTCACACTATTTTTTCAAATAGTCTGCTAATGGGTTTCTGCCCCTCTGCATTTGTGTATATTCTGGGCTTGTCTGATGATAAAAGTATCCGAGATGCTCATTCTTATTGATCAGAAATTCTATTAGACTGTTATTTGAAATTATATGACCTGCTCTAATTATAGGGTACTGAAGAACTTGAAGTGCGAATTCTGGTGCAGGCTCGGCCAGGCCAAGATATCCGGTAAGTTCATCAATACAGAATGGATAGCTCCCTGTGTTTCTACATGATCATAAACTCAGGAGAGCATGATTATTGTAAACCCACACCTATGTCAATTAGCCATTTTTTCTTCAGCAAAATGAATTTTCTGAATTTTATATCCCATGTCTATCCTGCCTCTAAAATGAAAATAGTAAAGATGAATAAAATTATCAAACTCAATATTAAGAAAAAATAAAGTTATAAATATATGTACTTACAGTTAACTTGTAGCTGATCCAAAATTACTCTGTCCCAACCCCTAGATTATCCAGAAATTGGAATAGAGATAATCAGGCATTTATACAAGTAGCTGATAGTAACACCCTCCTTAGCCATCCTTAGTAATTTAATAATTTGCTGTACCTTGCATGTAAAGATGAGGTTTCTCTCTTACATAAAATATTACGCATAGTTTCAATTATTTTTGTCACACTAGAAAATGTTTACACAAATTCCATCAGTTTTCCCAGCATACCTTTGTAACAAAGCTATGTTTCTCCCAGTATTATGGCAGGAGGCTAAGGTACCTTAGATCTGGACCAAGTTAAGGTGTCTACATGAAAATCACTCCAACCTTATTAACATCATTCTCCTTATCACAGAGTTACCAGCTACAGACCTCTGTTCATGCTGCTAGATAAATCTTTGCCTTGTATCAAAGAAAGTTTGAAATTAGTCATTTTAACTACAATAAAATAAAAGAAAAATATAAAGTAACTTTCAGATGTAACATTCTTGTTTAGCAATCTTAAATATAATTCCTATTCTTTCTTTTATAGTGTGATATAACTTTAAAAACTTAGAATTTTTAGAATCTCTTCATCATTGGACTCCTGACTCATTTCTGAACTTTTCTCCCTGATTATCTTCTCTCTCTGATACTAAAGTTTCCCTCTGAGTTGAGAAAATGTTAATCTTAGCACTAATGTGTATGTTTCTGCTTTGAATTTCAGACCCATCGGCCATGACATTAAAAGAGGGGAGTGTGTTTTGGCCAAAGGAACCCATATGGGCCCTTCAGAGATTGGTCTCCTTGCAACTGTGGGTGTTACAGAGGTTGAAGTTAATAAGTTTCCAGTGGTTGCTGTCATGTCAACAGGAAATGAGGTAAATAAAAAGGCAAATAAAATAAAGGGTAGAACTTATAAGATAAAACCCTTCATGACATGTTTTCTATCAAATGGAATGTTGTAAATTATGGATCTCAACAATTGAACTACATTTCTGAGAAATAATAAGTTGGCCTTGGCATAGTTCAGATGCAAAAGATAAAACTAGAAATTACATGTTAAGAAGTTGTTCCCTTCCATTTTTGGAATGAAATATTATAGCTAATGTCATTTCCCCGCTCTTATATAAATAATGTTAACTGAAAGCTATAGATAGTAAACTGTCAAAGCACAGTGCTTAGTCTGTGGAAACATGGTTTGTGTATATTGTCATGATGGCAGTAAGTGAATGAAATAGGGAACATGGCTAGCCTGTCTTGTTAAAATCCTAGGTCAATTTTAGTCACCAGAGGAGTTTGATATTCTCTTAGTATTTGGTTTGGTCTGAGGGCTTGTTTGGGTCTCAAGTGCAGTATCTCTAGTGGTATGCTATTCAGAACGGATCTACATGTCATATCAGCCTCGCTTGGAAAGGAGATGATAATCAATCTTTTTCTGAGAACCCTTGAAAACCTTCCTGACTGCTCTCTTGCACAGGCTGTTAAAATGTCTAGCAGCTCTATAGTCATGTTGGGAATGTGAAAGGATGAATATTCTAGAAACACAATTAAACAAGCAAGCCCTACCAAGATTTTTAGCAATTTCTTTGGACTATACTATTAAAGAGTAACAAGACTGGGGGGGGGGGAAGCTTTGTTATAAAAGTAACCTTTCATTAGCATTATTTTTCATTTATTAAGTCTTTAGGAAGGGTATATCTATGATCTGTATACTTCTTTTAGTCAAAGCAAAAGAACCGAATTGGATTTTTTTTTTATTCTGCTAAAGGGAAGCTAAGTCTACATTCTAGATGTTCTTAGGTACAAATGCTCCAGCCATCCCTAAAAACTATCACTGACCTGAAACAAATGTTCTTTTCATTCTGATAGGATAGAGATGGCTTTAATAATCTTGTGTCTAACTGGCACCATGTTTAGCAGCAGAGAAATTTCTGCTGCTAATTTTATAATCTCTGTGTTGCTGTTGCCCCCATCCATACTCAAAATTAGCTACTTTTATTATGACTGTGTTCTAGTTCAGCAGATGTGCTAAGCATTGTAAAGCAAATCAGTGGTAAAAGAAAAATAAAACATAATATCTCTTCTGAAGGCTTGGAGTCCTTAGATATTAGAAACAATAACAACTACCAAACAACCTCTGTTTACAAAGAGGCAGAAGGAAGATGCACTATCTGTTAACATGACAAGGCTATCGTGTGTCCAGTCACAGTGCAAGCTCCTCTTAAGTATTAGTTCTCGATTTCATTGAGATGTATGGCTGATGCCCACTCTCTCTTTTAAATTAACTTTTCCTTTCTTTTTTTTTAAGATTTATTTATTATGTATACAACATTCCTTGCATGTATGCTTGCTTGTCAGAGGAGGGCACCAGATCTCATTATAGATGGTTGTGAGCCACCATGTGGTTGCTGGGAATTGAACTCAGGACCTTTGGAAGAGCAGTCAGTGCTCTTAACCTCTGAGCCATCTCTCCAGCCCCCTTAAATTAACTTTTTTTTTTTTGTTTTGTTTTGTTTTGTTTTTCGAGACAGGGTTTCTCTATGGTTTTGGAGCCTGTCCTGGAACTCGCTCTTGTAGACCAGGCTGGTCTCGAACTCACAGAGATCCGCCTGCCTCTGCCTCCCGAGTGCTGGGATTAAAGGCGTGCGCCACCACCGCCCGGCTTAAATTAACTTTTTAAGTTAGCATGCAAAGTGTTGGTTTCATTGTAGCATTTTCATAGTATACCATTATGCTTGGTTTTCTTTCAGACCCTTCGCCACTGTTCTTCCCTGTGTAGGTTGTCCCTCTTTTGCTCATTCTCTCCCCAAATAGTCTTGCCTTCTGCTTTCATGTCAAATGTATTTCATTTCCTTAACCCCACTTCAGATCTTTCCCTCCCTTCTCATGGTCCTCTTCCTCCTTTAATGACCCCCCCCACATACACACACATGTGTGTGTACATATATTCACAACATACAAGGGAAATATTGTTTTTTTTTTCTTTCTGGACCTGGCCTTTTTTATTTAGCATAATATACCTTGTCCCATCCACTTTACTGCACATATCAGGATTTCTTTTTTTGTAAAGATACGTTAATTAGCTTACAGAGAAAAGTGTTGTGTACTGCTTTCACTTTTTACATTTTGGTTGATCCCATGCTTGTTGCTGCTCCCATAACCTCCCTGGCCCTCCTTTCCCCACTATACTCATTTTATTCTTTTATTCTTCCTCCTTCTACTTTATTCTCTTATGTTCTTTCCCCTTCTCTCTAAAAGTTTTTTTTTATATTCTCATGGACTTCTTTATAGTTTCCTAGCCTTTACTCTTATTTATTAACCACCTAGAGAACATATTTATGTCTGAAAAAAAATTTGCTTATGTGCCAAATTTCCTTTGCCCGTTGATGGGCATGTAAGCTGTCTCCATTTCTTAGCTGTTATGAATAGCGCAGCAGCAGCAACTGTGCAGGTATGTTCGTGGTGTTCTAACTTAGTCCTTCAGATAAAGTGGTAGAGCTGGATCACATAGCTCTATTTTCAATTTTTTTGAAGAGCCTGCACACGGATTTCCATGGTGTCTTCACCAGTTGCTACCCCAGAAACAGTAAATAAGTGTTGTTCTTTCCTCCATCCTTGCCAGCAGATGTTGACATTTGTTTTCTTGATGGTACCATTCAGACCGGTAAGATGGAATCTCATAACCATTAAAATTTGCATTTCTCTGTGTAAACCTTTTGTATCTAATGTGATAACATATGGATGTATTCAGATAGAGACAAGCAAGACAACTGCTTTAGGCAACCTAAAGAAGATCATCCAAGGGGCTGGAGAGATTGCCACCATTAGAGATCGTCCAGAGGACCCAGTTTATTTCCCAACAGGCACACAGTAGCTCCCAATGATTTATAACTCCAGTTCCAGGGAATCCAGTGCCCTCTTCTAAGCCTCCACAAGTATTGCATGCACATAGTTCACAGATATTCATGCAGGCAAAGCACCCATACATATAAAATAAAGAATAAATAAATTTAAGAATGTCACACAAAATATCTCTGTAGCTATTTAAAACCTGCCCAATATTTTGTGAAGCTATAATCTTATTAAGGATGGGGGAATTATGGAAAAATTAAGGAAATAGAATTATTAACTATGTCTCAATATATGGTTTAGATATTTATCTTAATTATACAGGTTAAAATTTAGGCAGTACTATTTAGTGATCATAACTATACATTCTTAACCTATCATTTTGTAATGTGTGTGTGTGTGTGTGTGTGTGTGTGTTATCCACACTCAGATTCCAAACTGGTCGAGCATTTGTCTTGCATGCGTGAACCCCATGGACATCCAGGCCATGTGTGGTGATACATGCCTGTAATCCCAGTACTTGGGAGGCATAGGTGGGAAAACTGGCACAAGTTTGAGACTGACCTGATCTATGAAATGAGTTCCAGGACAGCTAATAAGAATCTCTCTTAAATTTAATAATCTGAGAAATATATTGGACAGTAAATAGCATCAAACAGGGTACCATCAGACACAGATAGCTTTCTTATTCAGGAGAACAATGCTCTTAACAATCCTCATAACCTTCTATACCTACACTGTTCATTCTGCAAGTGACAGCTCAGGTATAAAAAAAATAAGACTCATACCAAGAAATGCAGGAGTCACTCTTGCTTAGAAACTTCACGTTCTATGTAGAAATCAATATATTTTTATAATCTTGGGCAGCCTCTAAGATATGCCTATAAAGTAAATATCTAGTATAAGTATGACCTTACATAGGAACCCACTAGATATGTATGGTACCTTGTGGTCCATGTGCATGGTACCAGAAATCACCTTTTTCATGGGAGGAGTAAAACTACCCTGGGCTGCATGAGACCCTGTCTCAAAAACAAAGTACAACAATAAAAGAAATGCTGCCTAGTAACAAGCTGACATTTAATCTTTAACAAATATCCATGGGAACAGAACTAGAGAATGCACTGTCCATAGAAAATTAGAAATCAGTAATAAAATAGGCTAAATGTCAGTTTGCTTTTTTATTAATCACCATGAAGTGGCTATTTTAAACAATATTAGTGATAAAAACAGTCTTTTGGTGGGGTAATGTATATATATATATATATGTTCTATATATTCAACATACATTATATACCTATAAGAAAACATTAAAATAAATTTTAAAATCCTTCTCTCCACTGTAGTGCACTACTACTCCCAACCCCTCCCCACTTACTATGCTACTAATGCCAGGCAGTGTTCTGATACAGCAGGTCTGTGACAGACAAGAAAAATAAATTCCCTATTCATACACAGTTGAGATTCTAACTGGAAAGTAGTCAGTAAGCAAATAGTGATAATGGCACAAAAAAAATAGGGGTAAAATGATAAAGAATGCCCATCGACACTAATGTCTGCTGAAACTTATCCAATACCAGCCCTGCTATTGCAATTAGAGTGAAAGCCTGGAAACTAAATGTTCTGGGCTCTCTTGCAAACTATTGTCAAGATACTAGTCTTTTTGGGCTTTTAGATAGAATCCCACTATGTAGATCCCACTGACCTCAAATTTATAGCCCTCCTGCCTCTGCAGCATGAATGCTAGGTTTTCATGCATGGACCACACTAAGCCTCTACTTGGATTTTGCTGTTTGGATGCATTCACATGGTATAAAAGGTAGAAAGAAGGTGAAAGCATTAGGAGATGCCCAACTATTAGACTCATCACTTTCCAACAGCCTTGAACACAGTGGCAGATTTCTGCAGTCACTAGTCTTTAGTACACTGTTTTCTCTGTTTACTCTGCCTCTAAGTTTTGTAATACATTTATAACCAATGCCTTGTCTTTAAAAATCTTCTTCCACCTCCTTTATTTGAAATACCTAGA